GGGTGTGGGCTAAGGTTGAACTGGGAGATGACCCTCCCTTGCTGTTTCATCCCTGTCTCTGATAGCACCATCCAAAACCCCCATACTACTCTAAAAGGCCATGGATCCTAACAAAGAAGTCTCATTGCAACGCTGGCTTCCTGAAGGAAGATAGTGTAACCGACTCCCCAAACCTCAACTGCTAAAGTTCGAAACCATGAAGCCGGAAGCCTTTCACCCAGGGTCCGGACGCAATCTGCTGCCAGGCGCTGGCTCCGTGGCATGCTGTAGCAGCTGCGTTGTAGGTGATGATGTCGGGGATCAACTGCCTGCCACGGAGTCCTACGAACCCCCCCTGCATTTCTTAAGCAGTAGCCGGAAAGTTGGATCCGGCGCCCTCTCTGTTGCGAGTCCATCCGGCTTGTGGTGATGGGGTCTGACTTAAGCTTTTGGCCTACTTATTATGGATCGTATAGAAACCCAACAAGTTAAAGTCCTAAGAGCCAACCAGAAGAACGGCAAGTCCTATATTGCAGAGCCTCGCGGATGAGGTTCTTGGTGCGAAAGCGAGTCGATGTGCAACTATCAAGGGCTCACGATTCACCCCTGTTCAAGCTTCGCAGCCTGGTGACGCAAGACCAACAACCAAGAGTCCATAGCGCACATGTTCCCTCACTGTCCCCCTGAAGCCCAAAGCACCAAAAAATCTTGAAACCCACAACCAAAACCAGGACCCTGGAGCCCCAAACCCACACCCACAACCCCTCAAAAAGGCTTTCCGCTGTCGTCGCAGGAACTATGCCTCGAACCGATGTCCCCCAACCGCTCCAGTGACAGCTGCCAGAGGTGGGCCTGGGGAGTATGAGTTGCAGTGCAGGGCTTTTGAGATGTGGGGCGCAACACTGCAGGCCATTAGTATAAACTCTTTCTCTGCATCGAAAAAAACATTGGCTTTTCTTGGCAAGCTGTACCAAGCAGTGTGCAGGCCGATGGAGTTCAACATCGGTCAGGAACTTCGGAACGTCTTCCGGGAATCACGGGCATGTTTGACCCAACTAGTGCGCTGCATTGCTTCGCTCTTCTGGAAGTTGCTACGTTTCATAGACTGGTCAAAATGTCATCCCATTCGATGCAGGCTTATTGCCAACCTGCTATTGGAAGAGGTGATGTTTGCACCCGTGCTGACCAAAAGGAGGACATCATTGATGTGATGTGGAGACGTCTAATCGGGGGTTGGGAGGACTATGTGGAGGAATGCACACGACAAGCCTACCCGCATAGCTATGCTGTACAGCTGTACATGGAAGAAACAACTTCAGCAAATGCGCTGAACCCGTGTTGCGTGTTGGAGCTTATCGCGTGGAAATACATTCATTCTGGTATGGCTTCTCTTCCAGAGAAATCACGCACCTAAACGTTAGAGTATGCTAACCATGCGGTTTGCGGTGCTGACCCACAACTAATTCGGTTTAAAACTTAACATTAACTTATTTGGTGCTCCTAAAGCCTACACCCCAAGCCTAGGGATGAACTGCAGCTGTCAAGACTGAATAGCTCACGAGGCCTTGCCACACGCCCCCAGGAGGGCTCCAGTGGTGACAACCTGTTTAGACTTCGAGATCTACGGGCAGGAGGGACCTACATGAAAAGCGGCGCAAAGGAGCCCCGAATCTGTGTGGGTTCTAGGCGAATCAAGTTGAGGGTTTTTGGGCCTATAGGGGTGTAACGGTTTAGGTTCTTAGCTTTGACAGTTTGGGCCTGTGTGGGGTTTTGGGCTCTGGCACGATCTAGGGTGGTGCTGCTAGTGGTAACAGTACTGAAGGTGGCGAAGTAATCGTCGTCGTCGTCGTGCTGATTGTGGTGTGTAGTTTGTAGTAGTAGCAGCGGTAGCGAAAGTAGCATCAGCAGCAGCAGCAGCAGAAGAAGCAGGAGTAGCAGTAGTAGTAGCAGCAGCAGTTGTAGTAGCAGTTGTAGAGGTAGTTGTAGTTGTAGTAGTCGTCGTAGTAGTAGTAGTAGTAGTAGGAGTAGCTGTAGCAGTAGCAGTAGCAGTAGCAGTAGTAGTAGTAGTAGTAGTAGTAGTAGCAGTAGAAGTAGTAGTAGTAGTCGTCGTGGTGGTGGTGGTGGTGGTAGTAGTGGTAACGGTAGCACTAGCAGCAGCAGTAGCAGTAGCAGTAGCAGTAGCAGTAGCGGTAGCGGTAGCGGTAGCGGTAGCGGTAGCATTAGCAGTAGCAGTAGCAGTAGCAGTAGCAGTAGCAGTAGCAGTAGCAGTAGTAGTAGTAGTAGTAGTAGTAGTAGAAGTAGTAGTAGTAGTGGTAGTCGTAGTCGTAGTCGTAGTCGTAGTCGTA